GACCTACACAATTTTTTTCTTTTTGATTTTTTACCTGAATTACTGAGATGCATCAGGACACATTACTTGCGGCATACAAAAAAGGCTGAAGAGAGGGAGCAAAATTGGATGCAAATGGTGGCTCACTGTACGGTAAGAAAAAAACATTTTTTTCTGTTTGTAGCCTTCTGGTTGATGCTGAGTGTTGAACTGTGGCCGTAGCGCAGTGGCTCGCGCTTTGGGAAGATTCTCGCGCGAGGCACCCTCACCAGCTGGGAAGTTGTTCACATATGTCAACCCCTTTGGACGTTTATCTGTCTAATGAGCCTCAAAAATCTATATTTTTTTGCTAAAAATCCGTAGGCTACCACTCGTACCCGCGCGTGGGGGTGGGGGTCTGTACGTGGAGATGACAGCGCCTGCTGTAACGCAGGAGGAAAAGAGAGCAGAAAAAGTAGATAACGTAATGTTTATTGTTTTTTAATTTCATTTTTATTTATTTTTTAAATGTCCGTTCAACGCCGTGTTCAACTAAATAGACAACAACTAACCAGGCTTCATTATCACATTCAGGAGATGTCTGTRAATTTCAGGAAAATCTCAGGCTTTGGTTATCCCGTGGGAATGCGCCACATAAAACAATGTCACCCAACTCATTCTCCATTTAATGTATAATTTTCCTGAATCTAAAAATCATTTCTGATCCCACAGAGAGGAATCGGCGGAGAATCTCACACGCTGGACACATTTACATCTATTTTACATATTTAAATGGAGGCGTGTCAGGGGAGGTTTCTCACGTGCGCTCAGTTCCACGTTCATTGGGATGTAGAAAGGAAAGGTGCGCAGGAACATGCGTACGCATGGTTTCATACATCTGAATATTTTGGTGCGGCGCGCATTTCTAAATTTGTCCTTACGTCAAATTTTAGTGTGAAAGCTGTGCAATCCTTTATGTATGAGGCCCCAGAATCCTGACCCCTGATAAAACGTAAAAACTTGAAGTGTGTCAGGGGTTTTTATCCTCCCTTTTCTAACATCACCTGTTTCTTCAGAATGACTCTCTTCAGCTCTTTCTCACTGCTCTCACACAGAAGCTCCAGGTTTTTCATTCCATCGTTCAGAACATTCTGCTGCGCCTCGGACTTTTCCATCTCTTTCTTCAAATGACGAATCCTGCCCTGCAGGAGAAACACGCAGTCATAAATAATTACTTTGTTTCGTCAGGTCAGCGAGGAGAGAAAGGCTGAGATATGTGGCAGCAGTTTAGTCAGACCTCACACTCTTTGAGTGCGTTGGTGAGTGTCATCTCCACCTGTTTCTTCTCCTCCTGTTCGTTCTCCAGCTCAGCGATCTTTAAATCCAACAGTCTTCTTTCCTCAGGGTCAAGGTCTCCCTGCAGCCGTCCTAGTTTGTTACTGAACTTGACTATCTCCATGTCCTACAGCGTGCAGGAAAGTGAGAGAATAAAATAATCAACAAAAGACAGAGCTGGACGTCACATTAAGGTGGGATTATTGTTGGAAGGTGTGCCTGGTTCTTCATGGTCTCCTGCTGTTTAGAACATTCTTTCTTCAGTTTGTTGAGCTGCTTTTCCAGGCCACTAATGGTATATTTACTCCTTAAAATCTGCGCGGTGGAATCTTTTTCCTTGGCCTTGACGAGCTCGAGCTGCTGTCTGCGATGTAACAGTTCCCTCATGAGGTTCTGCTGCAGAACATCCAACTCCTGCAGCACAGGCACAAGAACAGGGTTACAATCCAAGCACACAAAAGATCACGAGTCACAAAGTTTCTGCTCATCCAGATTCTGGCAGTGACAGGAGCCCTTCAGTCTCTAAGCTAATTTTAAAAAGTGGCATAAAAAATGTAGTTGCTACGTTGATGGATATTAAAGTAAACATATCCTGCTTTTAAATCCTTATTTTTCTCTTTTAAATCCTTCATTTGGGGTCTATATAAAGTGGAGTCTGAATTCCTCCTTATTATAAATCCACAAGCCTCTCTTTCAGGTATGTCTCAGATCAACTCGTTTTGAGGCTGTCTCTTTAAATCCAAACAAGGTGCTTAAAGCCCCGCCCCCAGAACAAGAGTCTGACCCAGAGCCAGAGTCTGTCCCAGAGCCAGAGTCTGACCAAGAACCAGAGTCTGACTAGAACAAGAGTCTGACCCAGAGCCAGAGTCTGACCAGAACAAGAGTCTGACCAAGAACCAGAGTCTGACCCAGAGCCAGAGTCTGTCCCAGAGCCAGAGTCTGACCAAGAACCAGAGTCTGACTAGAACAAGAGTCTGACCCAGAACCAGAGTCTGACCAGAACAAGAGTCTGACCAAGAACCAGAGTCTGACCCAGAGCCAGAGTCTGACCAGAACAAGAATCTGACCCAGAACCAGAGTCTGACCCAGAACAAGAGTCTGACCCAGAGTCAGAGTCTGACCCAGAACAAGAGTCTGACCCAGAACCAGAGTCTGACCCAGAGCCAGAGTCTGACCCAGAACATGAGTCTGACCCAGAACCAAAATCTGACCCAGGACCAGAGTCTGACCCAGAACAAGAGTCTGACCCAGAGTCAGAGTCTGACCCAGAACAAGAGTCTGACCCAGAACCAGAGTCTGACCCAGAGCCAGAGTCTGACCCAGAACATGAGTCTGACCCAGAACCAAAATCTGACCCAGAACCAAAGTCTGACCCAGAACAAGAGTCTG